ATCGCTCAGTAATTAATTTGTGTTACAATTTCAGTGTTGAATGAGAGAGTTTTATGCATTTGAAAAGTATTCCAAAATTGTTTTCTCATTTTTATAACTAATATTTCAGTTTAAAAAAATGTTACTTCAATATTTCTCAATCGATGAAAATTAATTCACATTTTACTTTGTCAGATTTTATCTTTCACAAAAATGCCTGTCGTTAAAGTGATGAGAAAAATGGTAGAATGATAGGTTATTCGATTATTAATACTTTCATTACTTTTTTTCGTTTTCAGTGTTAATAATTAAGCCAGTGCTCAAAGGAACTAACATTATAACTTTTATACTCTTTCATTCATGAAAATAATTGATATTTCAGATTTACTGCTCATTATTTAAAGTTTTCAAATTATTACTATAAAAATAAAAAGTTATTACTTAGTACTTTAAGTTCGAAAAAACAAGTCAAATTTATAAAGTGAAAGTTCAAGTAATTAATATATCATATTTTCACATTTTCCTTCCTCTGTACTGTCAGTGCAAGCACATTTTTCATTTATTATATGAATAGTTACTGACTTGATAAATCATATCGAAGCTTATCACCTAACTCTCAGATAGATTATATTATCATTGACCTCTTTTTGATCAATTACTGATTAAGTCTGATTCCATCTTGCAATCATCAATCTTTACATAATTCACAAAAAACTGATTTGACATGTGAGAGGAAATGATCATTTGTCGTCGTTGACTTACGTGTATACTTCTCTCATTTAACTGCACTTTCAAACTGTTCAGCAACACAATTTATAATGATCAATCGGATTTCTACAGCAGAATAGATTTATATTAAAAATGTAACTAACTGTCTTCATAATCCATCTATCTTATCTATCTATCTATCTATCTATCTATCTATCTATCTATCTATCTATCTATCCATGTATCCATCTATCCATCCAACCACTTGGATTCTATCTTCACTCATCATCTCATCTGCTAGCTCAAATCTACGCTGATTTAACTATCTATTTCAGATTGCATTTCGGATAGCATTTATTCATTTGTTTTTTCTGCAAGAGAAAAATTCCTTAAATTTATGAAAACTAGAAAAGTTTCTCATTTATATTTATCTCATGTTGTCTCAATTTACATTCATATTCCAATATTAACCATCAAAAATAATTAACTTTGTATTGAACTGAAAAATTGCAAATTCTCTAAGAATAATTTACAGCGAAGAGTGCTTGAAACTTCAAATTTTTCATAAAGAAATGCATATTATAGGTATTATATATTTGAGTATGTATGTATGCATGACAAGATTTCTGCAAACTTTGTGATAAAATATGTACTAAAAAAATATAGATGCAATAAAAAGCACAATTTAAATATAAATAATATTCATTTATTTTGTATTTTTGTTTACTACAAATATAATCTAGTATATAAACTGATAGTGTATTAATTTTTACCTGTCATTGCCAGAGATAACCATTTTGCTCAGAAAGAAAGCTCTAACTACCGACCCGCTTACTTTCTAAAATAAACAATGCCGTGAAAATGTCAAATTATTGTTTAAAACTTTTATTTATTTATTTATTTATTATTTTTTAAGTAGCATGCGCAGAGTTTGTCGCATTTTTGCTTCAAAATATACTCACTTATAAGGCAAGTAAAATAGCTCAAAATTCAATAAATTTCGATTACAAATTCAATTGAGTGTGACAAAATTGTTTGGTGCTAAGCACATTTCAATATTTTGGACTTTTTACTTCGTAAACTTTTCATAGTTAATGCCTAAATTATGCTTTTTACCTTGTCGTTGATTTTTTACTCTTTAGTTAAGTACTAAAATTATTACTTATTATTGTTCTTTGCCTCTTATCTCTTAGATAATTTACTTATCTTTGTACTGCATTATCGTTATAAGTTATTATTTAATGCAGTTTAATCAATATTTGAAGAATAAGTAAATATTTACATCATATGCAAATGACCTAAAATATTACGCTCCTAGATATTCAGACTAACTAACACACCTAAATAATACCTAAATAATTATTTATTATGCATAATTCTTTAATATATGATTGTGGGAATACAATTCAGTAATATGTAAGATTGTCAAATTTGTATCTGCCTCAGCTGATTATTTAATTTGGATTCTGCAATTGATGTGATAATAATGTACTAAATTGTTTGTAGTAGTGCAGTAGAATTTTAAGAACTATCATTTATATTATTCTTGTCAGTACTAACTGACTCTAGTGTTTACCTGTAGTAAGTTAACATTGTATCAATTAATGCTTAAGAATTGTTCGCATTTTTTACGTGGATAATAAAAAAAAACGCTAGCATTTTTGAATATCTCGCAACTCTCGATATATCTCATATCTCTTTCAACTATCCCATGAACCTTCTGCAACAAGCTGCTTAATTTTATCAAAGAATTGAACTAACTTATATCACTGTTAATGATAGCCGTTAATCTTCATACGTCAGTTTCTGTGTATACTTACGTATATACGAGATACAGGTTTAAGTGCTTGTCATGAATATCTGCTAGAAAGTGCATCTGCTTTTGTTCGCTACTTGTGCCCATAATGCGCGCATGTGTATTTGATGTATGTATGCATATATATGTATACGTTATCTCTACCTATGGATGCATTTATAGCTATTTGCTTAAACGTGTGCAGTCCTGTGAGTTGTAAACGTATAGCAGATGTTTTGACGTGTTTTCGTGCCCTTAAATTGTGTAATATATGTAAGCAGGCCTATCATTAAGTAATATTACGTGTACATTTGTGTGGTGAGGTGTTAATCAGTTAGCTTGGCTTTTATTTACAATTTTTTATTTATTCGAAAATTAATTAATGCTGCACTTATTTATAGTAATTTAATTTTATAATGTAATTATATTATTGTATTCAGACATTTGGCATATTCTCCTGGATGGTTGTTTACTGAAGGATAGATAAGCTTTCTTCTTGCTGGTGGGATAACCCCACAGATGTAATAAGTCATCGACAATGCTGCTTAACTCTTACTGCTATGTCTTAGAACTAACTGCCAGATATCTCTAAGGTAATCATTTATCATTATTATTTATAACTATAATTACATATATTATCATTGTACTTTTTATTTTTGTTATTTTTATTATCACACTATCATTAACACTTATTATTATCATCACTCATTATTATTATCATTACTTTTTATTATTATCACTTATTATTATTATCAGTTATAAGTATCACTTTTTATTATTGCCACCTCCCATTAATATTGTTGTTATTACTATAATTATTATTATTATTATTATCATTATTATTATTATTATTATTATTATTACTTGCAAATTATTGCGTTGAATGTTTTTAAGTTTTTCTTGCTCTCTCTCTTCTTTTCCTTTTCCGTTGCTAATTTGTTGAGTTTGAAATTTCATTTCTCTCATTGCTATGAGCTTTTAAATGATTATTTGTTCGTTGTATATTGTGGATTATTTTTCATCAGAGTTAAAAAGTTAATCAGAGATTAACAGCCTCATAATTTTGCTATAATTCTTTGCTTCTTTCAGTATGTTTAGCTGTAATAACAATTTTATCTTTATACATGTAAACATGATAATGTACAAGATATTTACTATTTTATCTTTGCTTTGTTTTTATATATCAATTTTAGTATTGAAATTAAAATATAGCTTTAAAAATAATAATTAATCGTTGCATATTTTGGTGACAAGATTGCTTTTCAAATGCATTGCAGTTATTTTTAAATAATAATGATGAATTATTACTCAACAGTAATAATTATTTTAAAGTGATTACATTGAGTTTTAACAATATATCGTTCTCACTCATATTAGCTGATGCTTTTTTCTTCTTTCTCATATTTTCATTCAACTCTCAACAGCTGTGATTGTAAAACGTAATCAGTTATTTTTGTAAAAATGATGAGTTTAAGGATTATATATTTTTCTTAAAGTCAACGTGTTAAACTTTTCTCATTCAAAATAGTCTCACATTTTTGATTGCATATTTAAAACTTGTAATCATATGCTTATTTCTGAATGAATGATACTTTTTTTTCAGTTTCAGAAAAATTCATGAGCTTTTTTAATTTTTTATGTATAATATTCAAATTTTATTTTAAAAAAGTATAATATTATTTGTGTTTATTTATTTTTTCCAGAAAAAAAGTTAATTTTTGCAATCAAAATGGAAAATAAATGGGCGACAGTCGTCGTTAATAGCGATTATTGTACTTGAAGGTTCTTTGCTGTAATAATATCAATTTAAACAATGCTAGAAAATTGTCCTATTTTGCAGATGTATCAGCAGAAACAAGTCGAATTGTTGCCTCAATATCAGCAAGCACAAACAGATTTTGCTATGCAGCATTTCACTTATTTTCAATCACATCAATCATCTCAACAAAAGAAATTTGATCATCGTTCTCCACAAAGTATCAGAAGTTGTGATCAAGTTAATACGATTAGCTTGGTTGATTTTTCAGAAGATAGTGATACTCAAATGTCCCCAACTACAAAAGATTGTTCAGGATTGAGAAATAAGAGGTAATAATTTTGTTCTTACGATTACTTATCTTATTTAATCAAAATTTTATGTAATAATTAGTTTCTGTCTCTGTTCGGAACAAATATAGCCGTAAAATGTTTTTAAGAAAATAGTACATATCTGATATTGTTTATTTGTAGATCATATTCCGGTTCGGGGCAAACAATATCACAGCTAACGAAAGAACGATTAAAAACAATGATTACAACTAAAATGAATCGTATTCGTTGTGATAGCGGTAATACATCACAAACAGCAACATCAGCTACTTGGACCACAACTTCTCCTGCGTCAAGTGCTACAAATTCAGGTAAAATTTTTTACTAGCTAACATTTGTACTGCAAATATTTTTGTCGTTGTTAAAAGATTTGACGAATATTTTAGATTCTTTTTCTATGTGAAAGATGAATTTGATGAATGCATTTAGGACAACGTAAATGTTATCACACAACATTAATTTTTTAAAATAAATTTGTATGTGTGTTTTTAATACTTGAAATTCATTATTTTGTTTATTAAAAGCTATATTGGCATTATCGATAATTGAATACTTTACATAATATATCTTAAACTCTTAAAACTTGAAAATTCTCGCACATAATGCATTTAATAATTAGTACAAATAATTCCACAAGTTATCACATTTTAACTTTCGTTCTATTATTACATTTTGTACTTCAAGACTACTTTATATTTGTAAATTAGTATTTGAGTTTGTAGTTTTTTCAAATACTGATATAGTTCTGCTGAAAATTTTTGTAAAATAGAAATTTTAACTTTTATTCCAGCTTCACGATCAAGCTGTATCGAAGGTCAAACTTCGCAGCAAACTCATACAGCTTCATTACAAGGGTCAATAGCTGTTTCATCTCCGCATTTTGAGCCGTATTACATTCCTTCTACAGTGCATGCATTGCATGGATCACTGCAGACATCTGAGCATCAGTTACGAAAAGTAAGCAGTGAACCGAATTTAAAAATGCGAATTCGTGCCAAACTTCTCAATAAAAGTGCTGGTCCATTACAGTCACAAAACAGTGCTTTCACTTTCACACAAAGAAGCTCTTTCAGGTTGTTTTTTAATTTGGTTATCATAATCTTATCTCTGTCTAATGTATTACTGGATTTATAAATCATAAATTATGCAGTCAAAACAATAATCCAGACCTTGTTTTGTTATTCTAAGCTTATTATTAACTCTTATATCATCATTTATGTTTATCTATCTCGCTTATATTTATTTTTAGTGATACTGCGATGGACACTGATGTTGGTGGCAGTACATCATCTGCTGGCTCACCGACAACATTTCTTGCTTCGACTCCTCATCTGATGGTTCCTTCACCATCCTTACCAAATTTAACTTCGCCATCACAAATACCGATGGATATGTCAGCATTACTTACTCAAGCATTGTATTCACCATATTTTTCGATGCCGTCACTCATTGGAAGTAGTCCTTTGCAACCGTCTTTTTCACTGATTGATTCAGGGGAACAATTGAGTAGTACTATAAGCGGTTAGAAAATCTTTCCATTATGCCCTTGATTTTGTATTTATATCTATATATGTTGGCATAATTTTAAATTTTTTAAGAAATAATGATTCACTCATTTTGCATAATATAATGATTTTATGTTTTCAGCCTTTTTTAAGTTTAATTTTGCATTTTCAGATGGAGCAACACGTCAACCAATAAAGTTAGATACACTGACTCAAAATACCCTCTTATCTCTAGGTGGGTATCCTTCATTACTGAAGCAGCAGTTGCGAGATTTGGTTCTTAGACGAAAGTCATTAGTCCGAGAAGAGCCAGAGGATGAAGGAGCTTTAGAAGCTCAACTTTCATCTCGTTTCCAAGGTGCTCCAGGCTTGCCTGATATGAACACGCAGTTGAAGACAGGTCAGTTAAATATGATTTGAATTATAATTATGGAAGATGGACAAAGCTATCTCTGAATACATTATTAAGTCAAGAAAATGAGGTTATACTAATTGAAAAATGACTTTTACGCAATTAATATAGCTTAATCTTGAACTTGACAAGTCAACACCCACATTTTTGAAATTTTTATAGTAAAGATTCTGAAATTGCATGCTGAAAGGTGCAGTGGTTTTTCATTATCATTAAACATGTTACTTGTGAGATGCAGAATGAAACTTACCTCATTGTTACTGCATTGTTGTTTTCAGAAAAAAGCTTTTTAATTGTAATCTAATGGTTTTTAACTTAAGCAATATAAATAAATAAAAATTTTGTTAAAAATTTCGTTTCTTCAAATTTTATAATGCAGATTTGAATAAATTGTGATTAGCATAAATTGAATTAAAATAGTTCATTTCAGGTTTAGTTTATGATGCGTCTATGGCTAGGCATCAGTGCGTTTGTGGTAGTAACAGAAATCATGTAGAACACGGCGAGCGTATATTATCCATTTGGTCCCGCTTGCAAGAACGTGGTTTATTGGAAAAGTGTGAACGAGTTTTTGCGCGCAAGGCACCACTAGAAATGTTAAGAACTGTTCATGCTTCGACATATGTCACTTTCTTCGCTGTATCACCAACGGCTTGCCTTAAAGTTAGATAATTTTGGCTTTAATTTTTCAGTGAAAAATATGAAGTACTACTAAAATGTCACTTGTTCAAAATATATTCTCAGATAAATGCTAATAATTTGTCAAAATTTTTTGAGTTTGTTGTACCAAATTGAAGTCTATTACTTCTTTTTATAAGGTTTTGAAAATGTAAAAGATAAAATGATATTTTTTATAGAGCATTTATCGCCGTGCAAAAATTTTTTGATGATCTTGGATTGAAAAATTAAAAAGCCTTTTTCGATTAAATTTTTTTTGTAAATGAATTTGTATAGATGGAACCGTCGCAGTTACCTGTCAAAAGTTTTGTACAACTTCCTTGTGGTGGTATTGGAGTTGATTCAGATACATATTTCAATGATGCTTCAACGCAGTTAGCAGCTCGCATTGCTGTGGGTTCTTTGGCTGAATTGGCTTTACAAGTAAATTTTTTTCTTCGTATTGTTATCTTGATTATCTGCTCATAGAATAAAAGCTGTATCAAATTAAATTTATTTTCTGTTATTAGGTTTAAAAGTTTGAATACAGTAAAAAACAATGTTTGAATAGTTATAGGTAGCAGAATCAAGGTTACGCAATGGTTTTGCGTGCATACGGCCTCCAGGTCATCATGCAGAATATGATCAAGCAATGGGCTTTTGTTTTTTTAACAATGTTGCGATTTCTGTCAAATATTTACAGCAGGTATTGCTTTCAAAATTTTATTTACTGGTATTTTTATTATACAAAAAACTACTATCATTGTTATTTTAGGTTTGCTGGTCAGGGTACTGTAATTAAGAAAAGAATTTATTGAAAAATTGATGCCAAATTTATTTAAGACGATTAAAATCTAAACTCGAATGATGAGCAGTCTTAAATCCTCAAATTCTAACTTGTACATTTCGTCATGACTTTTCTTGATTCAGAGATGTGCTGAGCAATGCTTACGAATAGCAATAATCGACTGGGATGTTCATCATGGTAACGGTACACAAATTTGTTTTGAATCTGATCCGTCCGTACTTTATTTATCTCTCCATCGACATGATAATGGGAATTTCTTCCCTGGTACTGGAGCTGTTACTGAAGTTTGTTATTTTACTCGTAGTCTACTCCTCTAGCTGACAGTTCTTGTTTATGCATTTAAAATATTTTTGATTGAATTCTGTTCTCGCTTGGTTTTTGTAGTCTTGAGTACAGTGATTATTTTTTGAGACTATGGAACTGTTTAAATAGGTCCTTTAATAGTTTAATACTTGTCATTGTTTATGAAATTTGTGCTTGCAGGTCGGAATTGGAGCTGGTAAAGGTTTTACGGTGAATATTCCTTTTTCTGGAGAAATGATGGATGATGCTGACTATTTAGCTGCATGGCGTGTTATTGTCACTCCAATATTAAGCCAATTTAAACCCAATTTTATTATGGTTTCAGCTGGTTTTGATGCAGTACATGGACATTCTCAAGCTTTAGGAGGGTACAGTTTTTCCGGAGACCTGCTTTACAAAATTATTTCTACAGCAGAATTTTTTTGCTTGATAACTTTCAAGCTCTCATAAATGTTATTTAAGATGATTTTTTAAATTCAGTATTTACTTTGCAGATATCATTTGTCGCCTCAGTTGTTTGGCTATTTTACTCGTCAACTTATGAACTATGCGGAAGGACGAATTGTGCTCGCCTTGGAAGGAGGCTATGATCTTGAATCTATTTCGGAATCAGCAGAAGAATGTGTAAAGGTGGCATTACAGCATTTTTTTTTCTTTATTTTTTCCTAGTTTCTCAACTTATTTGGTGTTTTTGACGTTGAAACTACATGAGAACATATAAAGTTGATCATATTCGTTGATTATATTTTGCTTTTTATAAAAATTTTTGTTCAAAAGTCAATTTTCAGGCATTATGTAATGAAAGTCCTGAGACAACTGGAAAATTGAGCGATGAAGCTCTGAATGCTCTTCCGAAACAAAGTGCGCAGGAAGCCATACAGAAAGTTAATATTTTTTATGTGTACTGTTTACTTAAAATATGCTAATCTTTTTTAAGATTTTCTCACTGCATAAGTTTACTTATTTCAGGTAGTTGCGGTTCATAAAAAACATTGGTCAGCGTTAACAGCCACACAAGGTATTGGTAGCAGTGAACTTCAATGGCAAGCGGTGGCACAGAAATTTGCTTCTTTGTCTGTTTAATACAAGATGTTTGTTCGATGAGTTGCTCAGGTTTTAAAAATGTAAGTTTTTACTTTGAGAAGGATTGGTTAAAATTTTTTTAAATGTTAGGGTTGTGGCAGAAATGACAATTTAGATATACAATCATTTATCTAGGGACTAGTTTTCTTTATTTTCATTGCAGTTATTTTGCTGAACCATTAAAAAAAAGAACTCGTAGAAAATAACGTTTTTTGAATAGAAATATTTAGTTTGTATGTGCTATTGAAGTTTTATTTTCAGTAAATTTAATCGAAAGTTGCGTAGAAATGCAAGCCTGTCTTTATGTGATTGTTGTGTACTATTTTGGGCCTTATTATCGGTGAGCCACTTGAAGGCTTCATGTGTACATTTCATTGATGGGTATTTCTGTGCTTTTGAATAACATTACGAAGTTTCTTTGTATGAATTTTAGATTAATTTTTTGTGATAATCAACATTTTTTAATTTCAATGTATAAATTAAATCTCCTCCTCTGTGTGAGGTCAAACTTCAGAAAGCTGTAAAATTTCGGTCTGAAAATGTTTGTTCAAAACTTCTTTAAATGTATAAGTTTTTAAATATCGGTTTTGATAATTAATAATTGTGCACTAAATACTTAAGAAAATGTGTCAGTGGCGTGAGCAGAAAGGAATAATTACTGTTTATCATATATCATATCTAATTATTATTTTATTATATCTAACAAATTTTCTTCGCATCCAAAATTTTTAGTTAAAATTAATAATGCTAGAAATGATATGAAAAACTAGAGTGATCTAAAGTATATTGAAAATGTATTCAATATTCAAATAAAATTTTTGCTTTTAATTCCAGACTGTAGCAAAAGTTCGATTTTATTAAAATTAATTAGTTTGGCCATATTTTTATTTCTCGTTGTCCATCTATGATAGCGGGTATAGATGTCCATATTACTACTTATTTTATTCATGTATTTAATTAGTACTGTTGTATTATTTAATTTTTTAATTGATACAATTGTGATATGTGATTAAGTTCCATCAGTGATCTGTGATAACATTTATTTACAAATTATAGTAGTTTTGATACTAGCCTGATATAGTTTGTTTGTTTAAGATTAAAAGTTTTTTCAACCGTGATTTATTTTTACGAGTTTTTTAATGTTTGGTCATTTGTCCTTTTTGATTACATCTTGTAATAGAAATAAAGCATCGCTCACCAAGATTTTTGCTCTACTCAGTTGATTTTTTATATATTATGTAGATCGAAAATTTCATTACACGTCATGGCGTGTGCAGTGTTTTTGATAACACGTAACAGTTCATTTATAAATTAATGCTTCACTGAGCACACATTTGCATAAACCTATTCTTTTTAATTTTGTACCTGTCAAACTCGAAATTTTTATGCTAATTTAGGAAGTAATATTGTATACTCGCTCCTTCTCTTTCTATGAAACCATTAGCACAAATGCAGTGAAAAAGGATATTCAGCGAATGCAATCAGAATAATTTTTAATGCTGAAGAAAACACCTAAGATTATTTTAATATTCAGATTAAAGAGAGGAAAGAACTAAATCGAATATTTTTTGTAAATAGGGACAGAATATTTTGGGGTTAGCTGAAAGAATTTGATAGAAAAAGTAAGGATCAATTATTGAATTTAAAAAGTATCCCTTCGAAAAGTCTTGGATTTTTTAGAATGTTTTCTAAAGTACTTTTGAAGGAATTTCTGAAAGCAGTTTATTGCGAATTAAGCCAAAGTTTGAAGAAGTACAGTTCAAGCACATTTTGTTGATTCTGGTATTTTTTCTACTTTTCAATATCATTTAAATTCAATACAAAAAAATTTGGAGTGTTATTTTTAAAATTTGCATTTCCAAATTCAAATATTAAGTTATTTTTTTGAAAACTACACATTTCTGCAAATATTAGTGGAATTTTATAGAGTTAAAACAAAGTTAAGGATACATAAGTTTTAGCATTATACGAATAATTGTGGGTCATAATTTATTCATAAAATTAAGAAGACATTAGTTGAACTTGAACAAAAGCGGGAATAGTTCAAAAAAGTGATAAAAAAACAAAGTTTAAATTCAAATAATCATGTTATGAACCTTGTGATAAATACAATTAACATCTGAAAATCCAAAAAAGCATTTTATTAACAAATAAATGTAATATTACTTGTTGAGATCTATATAGGCATCAAAAATGTAATATTCATAGAGTTATTAATTCTTTTATTAATTAAATATAATAAATTTTGTACTTGAACTAAGCAATCAACCAAAAATATGATATGAATATAATCTTTTATTTTTATATTATTTATTGCCAGTGTGAAAAATGATAAAAAAATAGATATTTCACTAATAAAACTTTAATAAAACTGTACAGAAAAATTACAGCACATTTTAACAAACATATAATTATTAATTGCTGCCTTTGTTTCAAATTGGTCGATTTTTTTATGATTAAAAATTTGTGAAAGTTAAACAAATGATTGAACTTAATTCAGTAAATAATTACAATTAAATTTGTCGAATAAATCAAAACTGAAAATAATAATAGCAGTAATTATTATAACATAATGGTGTAATTATGTTAATTTATTCTTTAAATTAATTACTCACAAAATTTGATTTAAAAATTTTTGAAAATAAAAATTTACTTCAAAAGATATACAGATTTAAAAAACTGTCAAGTGTAAAAATTCTGACTAATATTAAACTATTTTAAGAGAAATAAATTAGGTTTTATTACGTAAAAAAACTGGACTGCTTGCAAAATGCTTACGAGAATAATTTTGGTAGTAATTTGCTTCATTTTCATCTTATTACTCTGCTGAAAATATGATTCAAATTATTGCAAGGAATAAGTAATGTTACGTAAGTATACTGAGAAACAAACACGTAAACAAAAAAAATAAGTTATACAAACAAACAATAAGTTGTTTACGTATTTGTTTCCCAACACACTTACGTAATATTACTTATTCCTTGCAATTATTTGATTCAATTTTTCAACATTGCATTAAGAAATATTAATTTATGAACTTAATTTTTCAATCAAACAAAAAATGCGTTATTTGTAGGATTAAAAAAATTGTTATTTCTTTTTGTTTTCTGAAATTGGACTTTTTTAGAACTAAAATATTTGATCAATTAAAAAATATATGTATGAATGCATCAAATATTTATTTGATATTGCATATTTTATGATAAAAAATACCCCACTTTTTGTATACTTTCTGGCATGTAAAAGTAGAACCTATCAGTTTGCGATCTTCACAATAATTATTCGCAAAACATGCGCAAAATATGGATTAGATGACAGTAACTGTATTTTCGTGAAAGTTATTTGCTCAAAAATAAAATCAGTTTTGTTAGAGGCATTATTTTATTTAGTATACTTTATTTTTTAGAAATTTTGTAGTGGTTCAGTCTTTTTGATAAAAATATCAACGCAAATACAAGCTAAGATGTTGTAGTTGACTTTGCGATATGCAATAAAAATTCGCAATGGATTTGAGAGATCGAAAAAACTGTGAGATCAGTTAATTGCCAATATTCAATAAAATAGTTATTATTTGTTTAGAAAAAAGTTACATTTTTTTATTTGCTAAAAAAATTTTGTATTTTATTGTACTGATTTTTTGTTTATTAAAAATATATTCAAAATTTTAGTTTTGTAACATTTTGAGTTCAAAAAAATACAAATTTAGTGAGAAATTTATTATAAAAATGAATAAAATTGTGTGATATTTTTAGAAAGTGTGTGTAATATAGCAAGATGAATTTTTATTTTCGTAAAACAATTAGCATTAATTACTTATCATCATATTATAAATAAAAATCTCCATAAAAATGTATGCATATTTATATTTCTTAAAAGTATTCAGTTAAATGTTTAATTATCATTTAATTATCAAGGAGATATACTTTATAGTTACACATTTTTCCTTTTTTTTTCAAAAATTCAAAAGTAATGGAGGGTTTTTCATAATTTCAATCAAATTTGATAATATTTTTCCAAATTTTAAAAATAAAGTTTCATTTTGTATAAAATCTTTTTTTTAATTTAAATTAATTCCAAACAATATAACCTTTACGAAAAATGCATGTAGCATTTTGAAAATGAGTAATAAATTCGAATTGAACGCTACAGTAAAGGTACAATAATCACTATTTTCTAGTAATTAGAGAGATATCAAATTTAAAATAGTTATAAGTGTACCTTTCTTCTTGCTACGTTCATATCATGCAGTTGGATCTGATTCCGATCTGTCGTATTATTATTGTAAGTGCTTTCTTCCTCATCGTTGACAACATGAATACCTTAAATAGTTACAGACTAAAATATAATATTTGAAAAATTTGCATATATTTATAAATTAATACATGAAGCTATATAACCCTATTAAAATAAGCATTAAAAAATTATTAATGTACTAGAAAAATTATGCTTTTTATCACTTTTATTATAAAAAAATGTTTATTCATTTTGAGAAAGTAATTGTTGGCCATTCAAAATTAGACATATTATTATCATATTTAGTTTTTATAAAATAATCAATCTATAATTTGCAAAAGTACAGATTCAACCAACTATGAATTCTAATATATAAATATGCTAATTATTGTTTCCAAAATTTCAAACCATTTTATTTCAAGCAAAATCACTTACTCTCATAATTCACTGCAATTATTTACTGCTCTAATATACTCAGTCTTTTTTATTTTGATTCAATCCATAAATACTTATATTTCAACTAGCAGTTGTGTGAGAAATAAGCCTAACTAAAGCATACCAATGGTTAGGCAATAAAGCAGAAACCGCTGCACCAAACATCGGTATAAACATTGGTACCACCGGACAGACATAATTTCGGCAAAAATGTTATATTTATTACAGTAATATAGCTTTTGAAACAGCATAAACTTCTTGGTATTATTTATTATTTTAAAATTTCTAAAATTAAAATTTTGTTTTTGAATTATACAAAAATTTTTTTTACTTAATTCAATTGCACTGTTTACTCACTTCCAAAATAATTCAAAAAATCAAAAAACAAAATTACTGTAAAATTTTGCATCACAACAATTGAATCTTATAGTATATCTTAATTGAAACTGTAGAAAACTTTGCTATGAGTGAAATTTGCATAACCTTTAAGCTTTACCTTTTCTTGTATATTAAAGTAAAAGCGGCTTTTATTGTAAACTAGATTACATATCTCAATTAAAAGCTCTGTTAAAATATATTTTCTAGTTTTTCAAGAAAATTTTGTCAGCAAGAGACTTATATAATACCTCAAGAGTTCCCATCCATAACCAACACAAAATGCCATAAGTTTTGGGCCAAAATCTCTCGCAGGATTAATCTCATATCCTTAATTTAGACTAGCAGCTAATCCAATTAAAATAACTGTTAAAGCGACAAAAAACGGTTGTGCTACTTTAGGAATTCTGTTGCCAGAATCAGTGATGATTGTTGTACAAAAGCACAGAAGCGCAGTACCACAAAACTAAAATGAAAAATTATACTTGATTATTTTTTGCTACGTTTTCATTTTTTTTTCTGCATTTAAAACTATAAAGTTACCAAAAAAAAGTTTGTCTTGTTTTTAAATTTAAAAAATATTAATTATTAAAAAATTCACAGAAAATAAATTTGAAAAACTGATGATAAATATTTATATCAAATATTTGCATATTGAAAAAAGGTTCAGTACTTGCTCACACTTTTATATTCTATTACAATTAACTATTCATTTATTATTAACAAAAGATGTCATTATATTAATTATGGTTTATTTTTTAATAATTTTCAAGTCTTAAAAAAATCTATTAAAACAATAACGCATTTTAGTTCGATAGTCTTTCACAAATTAAAAAAATAAAAAATGTATCTTTATAAGCACGTAATATGCGCGTACACGTTATTAATATAATCGATTTTTTTTTCATTATCAATAAAGGTAATTTATTGGATATAAGTAATATGATTTTAGCGGTTGATTGTAGGTGATAAAATATATTTTAGTAAATTAACGAAAGTTGTGATAACATAAATAATTAGAGAAATTAATATTAAACTTTTGAAAGAAAGTAATCTCTCAGTCTTTCTGTATAGAATTTAGTATATTCAGTAAATAATTAATGAAAATAAATCACATCTGCTTTTACATATTAACAATAATTAGTACTGAACGGTACAATGTAGTATTCAAAGTTGTAAAACATTGACGTGATCAAAAATATAGCCAGGAATACTGAGATATTGTTGAGGCCAGAGAACGAATATCCCAAGAGTAGCATTAGGACCAATAATCTGTCGTTGACAACCATCGAAATTACGAATTCTATCTACAAAAATTATAATTAATGAACAATAAAAATTATTTAAAAAGTATGAAAATTGTGCACTCAGTCTTTTATAGAAAACCTTGAAGATGGATGACTTTACCTTCGCTCCCATCACGTTTGCTTGCATAAGTGTAACATTATCCCCTTTCTGAAGGAACATTTTGATTAAAAGGGGATGGATTAATAACGCAGGAGAGTTGAGGAGTT